CTGTCAACGTATATATGTATTTAAGCGGAATAGGCTCAATAAATAAATGAAATAAAAAGAAGAAAAATAGGAAAAAAAAAAGTTTGAGATGAGTGGGGGAGATTTGAGGAAAATTAGGCTGGGAAGTTGGATAGAAGCCAGATTAAAAAAAAAAAAAGCCTTGAGGGCCAAATTAAGAAGATATGTATATGTTTACTACAGGACTTCTCAGAGCCTTTAATTAGTAGGTATCTTGGTTTGCATTCCACCAGAAGCACACTAAGAATCAGAATAGAATTCGTTTGTTTAGGAGGTGATTTCAAAGAACTCCGCTAGGGGAAGTGAGGACAGTCACTAAAGGTGCGTTAATGAGCAGGTTGATCCCCGTGGACAGCGGGGTCTTGGTCCCTCAGGTGAGCTCTAGGAGACAGTGTAGATCATGCCTCAGAGTTTTCCCAACCAACAGGCAAGGAAGCTGAGGAATTCTCTCCCTTATACTGTCTATCGTTGATTGATGTCTGCTTTCAAGGTCATTGGCTCTCCAGTGCTTCCAGCTTGCCCTGCGCCCTGGGTCAGGAGGAAAAGACAACAAATAACAGAGCAAGAACCTAGGGCAAGAGCCACAGGTGCATACAGTAAGCAGAGTGTGCAGTGCATGTGGGCACAGCATGGACAGGGGCTGCTGCAGTAGGGTGATGGGGTCTGTGAAGTTTCAAGAGGGGAGATAAGGTTTGTGCATTTTCCAAAGGTATTTGACCACAGCATACTTTTGTATAGAGCATCCTGAAAGACTAGTAGTTTCCACATAACACATTGTGAGCGTTCCTTGTCTAGGTCAGTGGTCAACACATTTTGTCTACAAAGGGCCAGACAATAAGTATGTTTGGGCTTGCAGGCCATATGGTCTCTGTTACAGCATCTTCACTCTGTTGTATCATGAAAGCAGCCATAGACAACACGCAAATGAATGGCCATGGCTACGGTCCAATGAAACTTTATTTACAAAATCAGGCAGCAGGGCCAGATTTGGCCCTTGACCTATAGTTTGCTGACCCCTGGTCTAGATCATTCCTACAGCTCCATCCAGCTCTAAGATTCTAAGACATGTTTGTAGTTGTCCTACTCAGCAGAAAGGTCTGACTGAGTGATTTTACAAAGCCTTTGCTACCTCCTTCCCGTGTGGCTCCATGGTAAATGTGTCTCAGATCATGGTGCCTAGTCTCTCTGGAACCCATCACAACCAGCCCTCTGCAGCAGCCTCTTCATCCCATTTTGCCCACAGCCTCTCTACTAGGGAAAAGTAACTGAGCCTAAATTTAATTATTTCGCTGGGGAAATAAAAATAGTGTTGCTCTGAGGCTGCCTGATGCCAGGAATTTTCCATGGCATGGGAAGAGAAAAAAATAAATAGCAGTTTGAAATAAACAAGTCCTACCCACACTTCAGCAGGGGCCTAGAAAGGTGTGAAGACTGGGGGAAGCAGGGGAGGGGGCGAGGTGGCAGGACCCCACTCCCTCTTCTTTATTTTTGAAGTTGAAGACTTAGGACAATAGTCCCTCCTGATACGCCCACTTAACCTGCATTTACTGACCACCTAATGAATGCCAGGCATTCATTCCTTCATTCAATAAACACATTTTAAATGCCTAATTTGTGCATTGATTTTTAAGAATTCTCAATAATTTTTAAGAATTTCAGTGGTGACAGCAGAGCATTAAACCAAGCATGGACTCCTTCTAAGCACTATGGGATTACATATGTCACAGCCATGAAGCCAGCCTTGGTGTTTGATGTTATAAAGATATATGTGCTGTTACAAAGAAGACTCCATTGCTCGCCCTAGAGAAGTTAGTACCCAAGGAGGGAGGGAAGATGTGTGTAATAAAAGACCTGTCAGTGCTTCTCCCCATCACTTTCAATTTCTTTACCGCTTTTGTACACATCTGATCCCAGTGAGCAACCATATTCAACAGCCAGACCCTCCATCCCTTTGTTAAGGTCTGACCACAGGCTGCTGGAGCCACTTTGCCTGAGAGCTCAGAGAACTCGAAGTCTTTCACCAATGACTGACTTGTGTGGGAATCCATCTAATTGGCCCCTTGCCTCTGATGGGGTCAACTCTGAAGCCAGCTGTACACTGACCCCCAGACCAACCTCCCCTGCAGCAGTGAGTCATGCCCTACCTTGGTTCTCTTCCCTTCCTTCTTCCCACCTCCCTACCGGTTCCTCCTGCAACACTTCCTAATGGATCACCTTGACACAAGAATCTCATGTCCGAGTCTGCTTTGGGGGAACCCAACCTAAGACCCATGCATATAAGTTATGGGGAAGTGAGGTTCAGAATGAGAAGTGCTATGACAGAGATCCTGAGAAAGCACTTGGCACATTCAGAGGTGAGGAAAAGTGTGTCCAGCTGGAGGGCTGTGAAGGGCATAGGTGGGAGGAATCGTGGATGAGTTGGCATCCATATTGGGTCTCAATTAGTGGATGTTATTTCAAAAGGTTGAGATGAATGGTGAAAGCTGTTGGGAAAGGGAGTGGTCTTCTGTTTATTCTTTGTTTATCTCTCCAGGTCTTCTCTGCACTCGTTTCTCCCCTGCTCTGGGTCCAGGACAGCTGACCTGTGTGGATGGCATTAACAGGTGACCTTGCCTCTGGCTTCTTGTTGGATTAGACCAATGACCTCAGAGGTACTGGGAGGATGGAGGGGTGTGAGACTCCTCCATAGAGCCCCTCCTTGTGTTTCCGGTAACTGCTCCGTCTCTTGCCCCTTCTGGTCTGGAGGCGGTCATGGGTAGCTGTGGGGACCATCCCATCTCATTCTGGTTTGCCTCAACATCTATGTAAGCACGCAGTCTCTTTTTTAATCCTTCTGAGCTGCCTCATTTGAGGGTACCAGCCGGAATGTGCTGGAAGCCTGACTCATACAGATATGAAGAGGATGAGGACAGTGCAGGTGAAAGGAAGAGCTCAACCAAGGGCGCAGAAGCCAGGCTCAAAGCTGTGACGAGAATAGTGAGCTGAGAGCGTAGTAGGATTTCAATTACAAAGGATGGTTACAGACAAAGCGTGAACAGCCTCAAACAGTAGCCTAAGGAGTTGGGACTTGGAGCCACAGTATGTCTGACCAGAAGTACTTGGGGGGAGGTGCTCTGACAAAAGTGAGAAGGATATGGACTGAAGATAAACTGGAACAGAGCTGAAGGATTTGGAGCCTACTGCGGTGATGTAGTCAGAGCCAGATTCAAGGGCAGACCAGCTGGACAAGGTACAATTGGAAATGTAATGAGATGTAGAAAGCCATCTGTATCTGACCCCCACCTTGAAGGCTTTGTTCATGCTGTTCCTATTGCCTGGTGCATGCTTCCTCCCTCACCTGGCTAATTCCTTCTCATCTCCAGGTTTAGCTTAAACATTATTTCTCCCAGGAAGCTCGTGCTGGCCCTCCCTTCTGGACTGCCTGAGGTCCCCTTGTTAATGTGCTCACATAATGAATGTCTTGTACCTATTTAAAACAGATCATACTACACTGTGGCTATTTAATTTTCCAAGTGCCCCTTTGCACCATAAGATCCGGGAGGGCAGAGACCGTATCTGTCTTGCTCACTATTGTTTCTTTAGAGCCCAGTCTAATTCCCTAGCAACAGATAAATATATAATGGATGGATGGACAAAAGGAAGGAAAGATGGATGGAATCAGTGGCCTCTGAATGTTGCTGTTAGAAAAGTGTCTTCACCTTGACTTTCTAGTATCTATGTGGATAGAATCATTCATTCATCCTCCTGTGATATTTCTTAGGTTCTTCTTTCATTCTACAGCTGAGTTTCAGAAGTCTCATTTCAGAGAGTAATTAATAGAGTCATATGTCTTCTGAAAAGGTTGGAATCTCTGAGGCTCTTGGCATAAAAGAGGATACTGACAAGAGGATGCAGTTGCCAAGAAAAAAAAATAAAAAAGGAAATTATGAGAAGCATTTTGCAGAATAAACATCATTAGGAGGAGGGAGTGATGAAGCTAAAATAAATGTTTCCTGTTGAAGCCTGCTTTGCATTACAAATCATGAAAGGGCTTGATTGGCTTGCCTGTTAGTGACAAATAGCCTGCAATTCATTTCTTTCTCCTGCTGACTTTTGGCCAACATGCTGCAAGATTCATGTAACTGTTATTTGACAACCCTTTCTATATGTTGGGAGGAGATGAGACAGGGCTTTGCCCAGAGAAACACCTGGTTTGGGGGACCAGCTGTACTGCACACTACTCCCAACCAGACACGCTGTTGTACCAAACAAGGCCCCTGCCTGGCACAGCTAACACACCCAAGCAGGCTAGTTGAGGAGACATTAACAAAGGAACCATTTACAGCAGTGTGCACAGAGTAAGAGAAACCAACAAGGGGTGATGTATCACCCTGGACCTAGTGACAGTGGGAGCTGCTGGTACCACTTCTGGAGCAGACATACTATCTACAATTTACAGGTGAGAAAACTGGAGTTGAGTCTCCCACCCAGGTGACCCAAGGGAGGCTCAAAGAAGAAAACATAGGGGACAGCATTTGGAAAACTGAAATTCTCTGAATGTATTACAGCATCATTCCCATCTCCTCGCCTCTACCACCTCCAGTCCGTGCTGCCCCCTTGATTTTTGTTTGTTGTTCTCCAAACAAAACACACTCCGTGGTTTTAAACTGGGGTCCCTTCATTCTAGAGACTTTCACTGGCCACCTTTCCACCATTTGGGAGCACACATCTGCTGTCTTTGCTTACCTAGTGTCCATTCCCCCTTCTCACGACCGTACCTCAGTTTCCTCTTGGAAAATGAACTGGGTGGGCCATCAGCACCCACAGAGCTTACCATCCTCCCTGAACCTTAGGTGAGCCCACAATCACAAGGATCAGTTCAGGGATGGGCACGCATGCAATTCAGAGAGTTAGTGCTGAAAATGTGGTCGTTACTCATTAGCGAAAGGACTTCTCTTGGACTTCCCTGGTGGCACAGTGGTTAAGAATCCACCTGCCAATGCAGGGGACAGGGGTTCGAGCCCTGGTCCGGGAAGATCCCACAGGCCGCGGAGTAGCTAAGCCCGTGCGCCACAACTACTGAGCCCACATGCTGCAACTACTGAAGCCCGTACGCCTAGAGCCCCTGCTCTGCAACAAGAGAAGCCACCGCAATGAGAAGCCCGCGCACTGCAACAAAGTGTAGCCCCTGCTCGTCGCAACTAGAGAAAGTCGTGTGCAGCAACGAAAACCCAACGCAGCCAAAAATAAATAAAATAAAATAAAATTTTAAAAAAAGAAAAAAGGACTTCTCTTTCAGCCAGAGTTTCTAAGCCATTGGAATGTAAACCGGAGAGAGCCACCTGAGAATGAAAGCACTGCGGAAGGACCCAGAGCTCAGAGATATGGTGATGGATTCATGACGACTTTGTGTGAGCCCCCGACTCCAGTATGGCTGGAGGGCAGCAGTCCATGAAGCCAGCCTCCCCGCTTACCTCTCGGTGAGGTGAGCCAGCGAGGAGGAAGCAACTGACAAAGGATTAATCTCCAAAATATACAAGCAGCTCATGCAGCCCAATATCAGAAAAACAAACAACCCAATCCCAAAATGGGCAGGAGACCTAAATAGACATTTCTCCAGAGAAGACATACAGATTGCCAACAAACACATGAAAGGATGCTCAACATCACTAATCATCAGAGAAATGCAAATCAAAACTACAATGAGGTATCACCTCACAGCGGTCAGAATGGCCATCATCAAAAAATCTAGAAACAATAAATGCTGGAGAGGGTGTGGAGAAAAGGGAACCCTCTTGCACTGTTGGTGGGAATGTCACTTGATACAGCCACCATGGAGAACAGTATGGAGGTTCCTTAAAAAACTGAAAATAGAATTACCATACGACCCAGCAGTCCCACTACTGGGCATATATCCTGAGAAAACCATAATTCAAAAAGAGTCATGCACCACAATGTTCATTGCAGCACTATTTACAATGGCCAGGACATGGAATCAACCTAAGTGTCCGTCGACAGATGAATAGATAAAGAAGATGTGGCACATATATACAATGGAATATTAGCCATAAAAAGAAACGAAATTGAGTTATTTGTAGTGAGGTGGATGGACCTAGAGTCTGTCATACAGAGTGAGGTAAGTCAGAAAGAGAAAAACAAATACCGTATGCTAACACATATATATGGAATCTAAAAATAAATGGTCCTGCAGAACCTAGGGGCAGGACAGGAATAAAGACGCAGACATAGAGAAGAGACTTGAAGACACGGGGAGGGGGAAGGGTAAGCTGGGACAAAGTGAGAGAGTGGCATGGACATATATACACTACCGAATGTAAAATGGATAGTTAGTGGGAAGCAGCCTCATAGCACAGAGAGATCAGCTCAGTGTTTTGTGACCACCTGGAGGGGTGGGTTAGGAAGGGTGGGAGGGAGGCTTACGAGGGAGGGGATATGGGGATACATGTATATGTATAACTGATTCACTTTGTTATACAGCAGAAACTAACACAGCAATGTAAAGCAATTATACTCCAATAAAGATGTTTTAAAAAAATTTTTTTTTAAAAAGAACAAGGCAAGGATGCCCACTCCTACCACTTCTATTCAACGTTGTACAGGAAGTCCTACCACTTCAGCCATAAGGGTCTATGATTAGGTTTTGTGCTCCGTTCTGACAAATTCCAGTAGGGGAAGTGACCCAAAGCTCATAGTGGCTGAGAAGCTGTCACCTGCTGGAAGGCCGTCTCTCTGTGCACAGCTACACTAAGAAGGCTGCACATCCCAGTTCAGCTCTGAGGAGAGGGAAAAACACCTCCCTTTCATTTAACTTTTAGACCTCACGTTTTCGTGTTTGCAGTGTGTTAACTCCCAACCTCCCTGCAAAACTCCTGTCTGAGGTTCCCAGGATTAAAGGTCTGATGTGAGCCAAAAAGGCTATTTCTGCCTGTCCTCAAAAGTGCCATCAATAGGGAAGGAGAACAGAAGAGGCAGGATGGTACCATTTGGAAGCTTCACCTAGGCAGTGACCTGGTTGGTAGTGTTATTGTTTTTTCCTAAAAGCTTTATGGCATTTTGCAGAACAACTAAATGTAATACCTGGTCTTAAACTGGATCCTGCGCCAGGGAAAACTAATTTAAAAGGCATTAATAAGTCAACTGACAAAAATATGGAAAATAGATGATGGGTTAAAGAAAAGTTTGTCAATGTCAAATTCCTCAACACTTTAACTTTCCTGGGGCTTTTGGAAGAGAATATTCTTTTTAGGAAATATACACGGAAGTATTTACGGACAAGGGGGCTTGGTATATACAACTTATTCCCAAATGGTTCAGAAAAAATCATAGAGCAAATAATGAAGCAATTGCAATGAAATGTGGAAAGCTGGTGAATCTGGGGTGTAGGGTGCATAAGAGTTCTTTGTGCTGTTCCTGAAACTTTTTCTATAAGATTAAAATCATTTCCAAATAAAAAGCTGAAAACATTTAAAAGAGTCTGAGAAACATACCAAGGACCTACAATGTGGTAGGAGGAATGACAGGCAGCTCACTGACTCACTCTTTTATTCATTCATTCCATAAACATTCACCGAATACGTCCTAGTGTCTGGTACTAGTGCTA